ACTGTACAGTGGCATTAAGTGCCGTAATGTTCACCTCTGCCTACCCCTTCGGGGATAAAAGGCGTGATGTTATGTTATGTTATACAAGTTCGCGTTAACAACTATTTGAGCTGGCTGTACATTGATTTTATATCGTCTTAAGGCGGTTCCTTTGACGATCTCCGGCCACCGTAAGCGCAGGCCTGCGGACGGCGAGCATGGGTGGCTCCCCGTCCGACCAGAAACAGACCCGAGCGTACGGCGCGTCGCGTTCCGCGCGCGCCTCAAAGAGCCATCAGACCATCCCCGGTTAACCTAATGGGTAACCGGGGCTCCGACTCGACGTGCAGGAGAAGGAACAGGGTGGTTCTTAGTCAGTAGGTAAGAGTCTGACACTCCCTCCCGCCTCACCCAGGCGGGAGCACCCATTCGATGATTTTCCCCCCTTAAAAAAAATAAAAATAAAAAGAAGACGTTTATTTTAAAAGCTTATTCATGATTTTATTTTTATGACATAAGCCGGTAAACGACCAGACGGATCACCTGATGGTAAGCAATCGGCGTCGCCCATGGACACCTGGAACACCAGCGGCGTAACAAGTGCGTTACCGGCCTTTTGGGGATTAGGACTTTGAGGATCGTTGGGGATTCAGGGATTGGGGAGATTGGGGAAGGGGAGGGTAATTGGGCCTCCGGCAACCTCACTCACACGACGAAACACAATGCAAGCGTTGCTTCACGTCGGTTATCTGTGAGGCCGTGGGGATGAATTTGTGTATTAAGCCACGGTACTATGAATTTAGTAAGAAAATCATCTGAACTAACATATTATATTTAATTTCAAATCTAAACCTATATTGCCTATTTATTCATATTCATTTTATTCGTTAATTTTAGTTCATGAAAGTTGTCTGTGATTCCGAAAACACTGTTCGCGACGGCATCAAACGAAACTTCGCATTCAAGAATCGGAGTAGAATTCCTGGGATGGCGCGGTATTTAAGAACCACTTAAAATTGTGTAAGTATGTCAAATCTGGAATCGAATTAAAATTCTGACTATAGTCTTCATTTCCTGTGGAAACTTTAGCAGTGAGTTCCATTTATAACCCGTAGTAATTCCACATAACATACATAACATCACACCTTTTATCCCCGAAGAGGTAGGCAGAGGTGCACATTATGCCACTGTACAATGTAACACCCACTTTTCACTATTTATGTTACGAGTCCCATGTAATAGGGGGTGAGCCTATGGCCATATACCGGGCACAGTTCTACTACTGAGATTTTTTTTTAAAAAACCCAGTAATACTTTGCCCGAACCGGGAATCGAATCCGAGACCCCTTGCCCAGCAGTCGCATTTGCGACCACTCGGCCAACGAGGCAGTCTCTCAGTCTCCGTAGTAATTCCAATCAGACATACCTATTCATTAAAGATGGGTATTCTATCTTTATCTCACCCGTAGATATCCTTACATACTATAGATAAAGATACAGGGCAATGCTGTACCGTACAGCATTGCCCCAGCGTCCAATGTAACTTGATTGCACACTAGACGGGAATTATTCATGACATTAGCTCAGTTTATACTGGTGAACAGAAATATGGATGTTACTCAAACGAGCATTTCACGTTACGACTGCGGGACATTAGTTTTATTTTAAAAGACATATTGCAAACGACAGGATTCTCTTTTTTAGCTGTAATACACATGTGCACATGTTATACTTCAGAGATGTTAAATTAA